CTTGCAAAATGCAATTCATTTAAAGCAATATGAACAATTGAACACATCCGAAAAATGAATGAAGAGAAAAACGCACCCCTCTCGGAATGCTAAAATTCGCACCTTATGTTATAGCCCATTTTGCCGTGCTACAGACGAATGCCGTATGAACCATTGAACCATCAGACGTTGCCAAATTTCCTTTGATGACCCGCAGATTATCCTGAAAATTCAACTATATTTTTTTACTGATTTTTCAGAGAATTTTATGAGCAATTGGATCTAAAGTTTCGAATAATTTTAAGGCAGTATAGTAGGGCCCACGGAGGATGGTCCCTGAAAAATCGGGCGAATAAACGCATGGACCATGTAAATGTCAACGCTGCGAGATCGAGCACGTACATCGACGAAACTGGGTAAAAACGCCGTATGAACATTCGCGAGTTGCTAAATTTCCTCCAATTAAATGCCTTATTTTCAAGCAGAATTGGGCATATTTTCTCTTGAAATTTTCAGATGATTTAGAGCTGACAGCGAATAAAATTCTCTGAAAAATTGGAGGAAAAGTATTCACTGATTTCCCTGAAAATTCTTATTTGGTCAACGGAAGTTTGGCATCGGCTAAAGGCTCATACGGCGTTTCCTTAGCATGGTAGAATAGGTATTATATGCGAACCGCTGCTATTCCACCCCTATCTTCAGGTCAAAATTCTTAAAAGGAAGCCCTTTCGTAAAAGATCAATTTCCTGTAATTTTGCCCCAATCTCTTCGTCCATTACATGGTTGAAATGCTTGTGAAATTCTGGACTAAACTTCTTTGCTATTTGACAGATTTTTATAAATGAGGCCTTTTTTTACTCGTGCTTTAACAGAGAGTGAGGGAACTCTACCTAAAAACTTTTTTGGCAATTTTCAAAAAATTTTGGATCATTCTAGTAGGACGGTGATATTGGTAATTACGCGTAAGTAATTAGGGTTCTATGGTGGCTCGGCATTGTCGCGCGAGCTCCAGTCTCGGTCCGGACGGGGGTGTCTCACTGCTGCCAGTGTTTGCAAGAAATACCCGCGGCTCAGGGATCATCCTTCGTGGGCCCTACTATAATTCAAAACTTTTGGAGGAAATTTGGCATCACTCGAATGATTATGCGGCGTTATTCCTCAGCACGGAATCACCAGCGATGCACTTTGATGTGAATGCTGAAAAGTGTAAGCGTGTCTAGGGTGGGACTTATTTTTTTCAATCGACCAAAAAAAATGTTGCACGGTCCTAAATGGTTCTATGTAAAAAAAAAACCACGGTAGCCAAAAATATTTTGAAAGATGAGAAAATTTACCCGACGCGCACACAGCCAATAGATCGTGATTTTTCCGATTGTTTGAGCATTTTAACCGTCTATTTTTGATATTTCAGTGAGTGATAGGGACTGGACGCTAGAGGGGTGATTTCACGATAACAGGAATAGTTAAAATGTGAAATACCTTAAAAATAAAAGTGCACCAATTTTAACAGGATTTCATTACTACCTCATTTTAAAGGTATTGAACCTCCTTTTTCCAGCTTTGGCACGCTCTATTTTGATTCAGTGCAAAGTTAAAGTGATTGATAAACAAGCCATTGAATCAGGTATCAGCGCTTCCCGCGGGACTGCTGGAGGTCCACGCAAACATGGCGGCCCTGCCATATTGTGTCGGTTACGTAACAGACGCAGCGTAACCGACACTTGAAAATGTGAGATAAAAGATGATACAAAAGATGAAACTTGGCAATTCTTGAGTTATGAGGTGGAATTGATGCTGCCTTAAAAGTTTTCTAAACTTTGGAGACTTCCTTTTAGTTTAATAATATTAAATTGAGGTTTTTGCCTAGTGAGGAATTAGTGCTACACACCTAAAAATCACTGGTTTTCATAATAATTAAAGTTTTCATTGTAAAAAAAACTGACTTATCAGTAATGGTTTTGTCGAGAAGACTTCAGCGAACAATTTGATGGCAATTTTGAAACTCCTGACTCCGTCTGGCGAGATAAACACTGCACTCAATACAACTGCAAAAATTTGTTGCCAAATGTGGCGACACCTCTTTCTAATGACTTTTCTCGCTCAATAATAAACATTTCAGTTCAAACTGGCAATTTTCTTGAACATTAGAGTCTCTTTTCAGCAAATATTGCCAAAGAGTTCATGATCAGTACTGATTTGTTACCGCAAATTGCTCTTTTGCTTCAAAATCGGGGTTGGCGACGCGTAACCGACCGGACATTTTCGGCCTTTAAAGTCTCATATTATGAAATATGATAATAATTTATCATATTTTTTGGCGTGGATAGGTTCAGGGACATCATTCCTATTGATTTATTCATTTGGTTTTCAATCGTTTTGCCCTATATCGTTCATAACCCACGGCGACACGACTATTCCTCTTATCGTGAAATCACCCAGATGTTCAAAAATGTGTACAAACCGAGCACATACCTTGCACATTAAGAGAAATTTTTTTTTTTCCTCCCAAGTCACTCTCACTTCGCTTGGCAATGCCCAGTCCCTCCGCTCGGTTGCTCTTAAAATCGAAATTTCACCGTTTTTTAACTTATAATGAGCTTTGTGAGCAGCCACTAATGGTGGTAAAAATCCGAAAATTTGTGAAAAGCAAATCCATACCGCATCAGTATAGCGTCTAGCCCACATACCAACAACAGGCTTTAAAGAGGTTCATCGTTGCATATCCTGGCCCGCTCATTGGCCAGCGGTTTAAGTCGGGGCAATCGATGAGTCTCTTTGAAGCCTCTAGTTTGTAACGGGGATGGACGCTTATGGAAGAAGAAGTTTCAAAAAACTCCTGCTTCTTGGTTCGGCCACCAAACGGTCCGGGGGCGCTTCTTCGAATAGCACCGCCGGATCTTCCCACCGCGCCGCGCCGGTCTGCTGGCCCTCGACCGGCTGCGACGCGCGATTGTTCCCATTGTGCTTACTTTTGGGGTTCTCTCCGTCGGCGGAACCCGTGTTAATGACACCCTCTACCTACTAGCCGCTGAAAATTTGCTGACCAATTTTTTTAAAGTTTAACTAATCTTCATTTATTCAACGGATTCAAATTCAGCTCGCAATCCTGATGAGTAATATATATAATAATAAGTAATTATATCGGTAAGTTACTGATCAAAACGAAGGCCAAACGTGATAGCGGCCAAACATGTGTTAATGACACCCTCCTTCTACTGGTAGAGGATAATTTGCCGACCAACTTCTTTACCGTTTCTAAAATGTTCTACTATTTCAACGGATTTGGATTCAGCTTGCAATCCTGGTGAGTAATATATATAATAATAAGTAATTATATCGGTAAGCTACCGATTAAAAAAATTGGAGGAATGTGATAGAAAGTATTTTAAAAGCGCTGAAGACATTCGCGAGTTTTGCGACACTATACTTTTTCAATATACCTACTCATGATTATTCAAATTTTTCATCAGACTTCGAGTGCAAGACCGCTCTGGGCGACAAAGCTGTCGCGTTAGCCACGATACCTAATTTGTGCCGTGCGACTCTGTTAGTACATTTTTTTTTAATTCGAGAGTCACGAAGACACTTTGTACCACGTTTTCATAAAGAAATGGCCAGAATTACTCTGAGAAGAAGTGGCGTTAATTAATTAAAAAATTTCGAAACGTCCTTTACCACAGTCATTGATTGGAGAATTAAGAGGGGAGGAGAGATCACCCCGAAGTTGCTATGTTCAAGGCATCTGTGGTCATTATGAGCAGAAAATTAAGTCTCCGTAGTTTTTCCTTCATATTTTTCATAGAGATTTAATGAATTTACTGTCAAGGAGTTTACCATCTGATGGTTGGCGTTTATGGAACCAATCATTAACTCAGAAATCGTGTTCTCCCATTGTCACCGGAATAGTGTCTCTTCACCAAAGGTGGTCTAGTTTATCCAAAATTTCTTAAAAACCTTTATAGCTCCTAAATTTAGAGACTGTACTTAGGGTTTTCGATTACAAATTCTGGAAAGTGAAATCTAAGCGCTTAAGTACTGAAATTGACTTGAGATATAATGATTGCTGGAGGTATGAAATTTTATGCCCAATGCCCTAAGTGCAAGGTGAAGTAATGCAGAGAAAATTGATTTCTTGCCTAAAACCGGGTTTTTTTCCCCCTTTTTTTTTGGTTGAGATTAGTAACTTTCGCTTAACTGTTAGCCCTGTCCTCCCTTTCCCACCTTGCAGGATTGTAGAATAAGAGGGAATGCATGAAATGCAAAAGAATATTAAAAAATACTCAGTTGGAATAGCAGTGAATAAATGAATTAAGGACTAAGAGAAAAATGAGTAGGTAATAAAAAAGGGAAAAAAACAATGAAACATATGAAAAACCGGTGGATAAAACGTGTTTTGATACACGGCAAGGACGGAAATTTGAAGAAAGATTTTGACGTATTCGAATTGCAGTTGCATATTTAGTTGCATTCAATTTTAAGAACATGAATATCATATTTCATAGCCTGATGCGTTTAATATTGGTAACGGGGGAAGGGGGTGGAGAATCAAGCAAAACCCAGAAGAGGGGGGGGTAGTGAAGAAAAATTAATGGAAACGTGTGATAACAATATTTCAGAGGGAGAAATTGACGCGGCTTAGGTGGACAATTAACTGAAATGATCGGTTACCGAGCGAAACATGTCAAGAAATTGACAAGACGAAAAAATTAACCGTCCGGGTGTTTCGTCGTTTTCGCCCTCATCTTACTAGCGTGTCAACGAACTGTGCTCGGCTGGTAGTGCATTCAGACGACCTGGTGCAGCTCGCAGGAAGCGAAGGAGCCGAGGGATGGACAAGGAGGATGACTCAACGGTCAACCATGGGTCAACGTGGACCGTATGCAGGATTCGCAGCCCAGCGGGCCGCGGCGCGCCCGACCAGGCGACCACTGAGCGATGAGAGGGAATTAGGAGGGAATAAACTGGCGTTCTTCATTCGCCTATCAAGATGGGATATGAATACGAGTGTCTTGAAGCGAATTTTCGCGATCGAATATCATTCACCGTTGAATGATATTCGACGAATGTGCATTTTTTTTAAATGAAATTCGACTTGTTCGTTGGTCTCACCGGGGACCGGTGAAATCCATCAATTTGAAATTATGAATTCACCTCCGGACTTGAATTCGATTTTTGAATTGATGCAATCGATGTCAGAAACTTCATCTTTCACCCGAATTTCTGTTATTCTTCGCCATTTTGAATCAAAATCTACTTGCAATTAGCTTTATTATTCCATGCTGCAATCATGGCTGAACCAGAACCAACGAGCAAACTGAACTTAGGTAAGTAATGTTGCTTTATTCAATTGTACATCATTTCCCACATTAAGTGTAGTCTCAATTATTTGCACACTTCATGCGTAATTTTGTAGTGCTGGGTATTGTTCCACCACTCGGTCCGGTTTGCCGTGAACAAACCAACAAAAACTAGAGCGCATTTCAGCAGGCTGATCGTTGGGATCATGTATTATTCTGGCAGGCAAGCTTTGATTGAATTAGACTGATGCGATGTGACAGACCAGCTATCAAGCTCTATTGATCGGATGACAAGTAACCGCGTTGTGAGCCTTTTGTTAAGCCAATTTATTGACATGTTGTCCGCCTCCACCAGCGAGGAGGAGCCTTTAGTTAGGTGGCCATTTGGCCTGAGAAAAGGTTTCAGATGCACTTGCTGGTCGTTTAATCAATCCAGCTTTGTCTTGTCTTGTCGGGGAAAGATGTGTCTAATATTGATAATTGGTCTGCAAGCAAGCTGCTTTTGACACATGCCCACGGCTCATGAGTCTTGCATTTAGTCGGCACACAGTTCCGTTCGCTGAATTGGATAAGCGAGATTTTACATTCTGTCAAATGGAACTATGTGCACACTTCATGAGCTGTAGGCATGTGTTAAGAGCGTTGTGCAAATGGCTCATGAGTTAATGACAACGAATGGCTACTGGAGAGGCGGCTACGTCACTGGTGCTTCATCATTCCCATTTATTCTTATGGCCCAACCACTGACGAGCACACCCAATCTTTCCCACCTGCACATCCAAGACTGCACAAAGTTCTGTTTGAAAGAAATGTGTTAAATTAAAGTCTTGCGCAAGTACACTGAAGTAAATTTGTGTGAAGGGTTATTTTTTCCGAAATGCTCAGTTTTGAGGTCATTGTTTGTAAGTTTTTCATCACTTTACCTTACACGCTAATTGGTACAAGCTGTCTACTTGCCTTTTTTAACGCTATTCTGTATGGTAATTAGAAGTCATCACTCACGCGTAGGATTAACTTCAACATGATTTCAGGAGGATTTAAGAGGGTTCATTGTGCGATATCTCACTGCTGATCTAACTATATATACATGTAGCTCATCATATCAAGTTTTGAAATCGCTTCAAAAGTATCAAGTCTAAAACTTCCAATCTGCAAACATTCTAAGTAGTTTTTTTTTCCAAACAGAATGAGTTCCTAAGGTAGTAAGCTTCTTCATTTACTAGTCTGCTTCAGGTGTTCATTTCAATCTTGTAATTAATGATAGCAATTGGTAACTCTAAGTTCGCTCTTTGTTTCATTATAGGAAAGCCTGTGGTGATCAGAGTGCGACCAATTGCTCCGAAGCCGAGTCAGCTGGTGCTTCATCAGGCACAACTGTCACTCATTCATCAGCGGAATCAGAACGTTGTTCGACAGCAAACAACTCAGCAATTTGTCGTCCGTCAGGTACCCCAGGCAGTCATTAGACAACATACTCAACAACCTCAGGCAGTCATTAGACAACAAACTCAACAACCTCAGGCCATCATTCGACAACATAACCAACAACCTCAGGCAGTCATTCGAAAGCAAACTAAGCGCGCAGCAGAAGGTATGAAAATGTAATAAAGCTTATGATATTGACTCGGGGTACGGATGAAATTTTCTTTAAAGTTTTGTCGAAGATCTAAAAAGCAGCAAAGTCATGTACTTTCTTGTGTATTTACCTATGAGTCAGATCAATTTAATATAACATATCAGGTACACTTCACTGATAGTTTGACGTCAACTCCATTATTAAGCTGATAACGGATAGAATACATCTAATGACAAGGCTTTTCTTTCAGTAAGGCAAAGTTACATGTTACAAGAAGAGAATACAAAATCAACTAAAATGCTAAGAACTATACTGAAACAATATCTAATTTGTAAATGGAAAATTTTAAGATGGTTCAGTGAAAGTGAAAAAAATTATTGCAGTATGAACTGTGGCGAAGCAATTTACACAAGTGTAGCTGTGATCTGCAATCGTTTTGCTAGACCTAATTGATATTGAACAGCTTCATTTGGAGCAACTCCCAGGGGGTCTTGAATTATTTGCTGTGGCTCGTTGTACACTAAGTGGTCTATATAATCATGTTGTAACAGACAAAAATTGTGCAGAACACACGCCGCCGTTACAGTTTTTGAGATTTTCTCGTGTTTGTATGTGTTTATATGTTGGAGCCGGGCCCATCTTCCTTTCAGCAACCCAAAGGTGTTCTCTATTTTCACTCTGCAAGAAAAAGAATACATGAGTTCAGTATATTCAGCGGTCCAGCATCTCATTAAGAGACATAAGAGAGCATGAGTCGCTTTGAAATCTGCACGAATTTTTGAGCAATAACTCCATCATGACCTAATCACATTTGTTTCTGATCACCAGGGGTTTAAGAGAAATGAGAGAAAAAATATATATAGATATATCTCACAGGGAGAAGTTCACCTCCTTTCATTGTGACAAAAATAGGTATTCTGTTAACACAATATTGCAAAAGTAATATCATGCCATTCATTTTTCTGTTTCGTATCTCTATTCTGTGAATTACTTATGAGTCTTTTTACTTTTTCCTTGAGTATGAAAAATGTCCTTTTATTAGCTGTACCTGGTACATATTTCTCATTAAAAACCTAGCAATTTTTAAAATTATTGGTGAATAGGTGGATTATGAAAATGGGTGAAATGCTTCATTTCTTACCGGGTTTGACTATGTCGCTTGTTGAAGCGTTTCTGCGCCACTGTCAAGTTCCAATGTTTATACCTGACTATCATGTACGATGTCAAGGCGTAAGCCGGATCCCCAAGCAAGTGGTAACGGTCTTGGTAAAATAGTGCCTTTCTACCCTTTTGATTTATGGCTCTTTTCAAACTTGATAATCTAAATACACGTGCATCGTGCACACGGCCAGGTGCTCCAACAAAGATAAGTGTAAAAAAGCGTTTGCTAGTACAGACACCTTGTAAAACGACTGACTTGAACATTTTTCTATTTATGTAGCTGTTTCCAATTGTTTTTCTAAACTTGGCAGAAATGTGGCTACCATCTATGACTCCAATCACTCCTGTTTTGAAAAATAAAAATTTTTAAAATTAAAAAAACAACAATTTGAAAAATAAGTTGTATCAATAACATTTCCAAGAAGCTACAAAAACAAATTCTGAATCCACGAGGTAATGGACAGTTGGTAGTTCCCTTGATTAATTCTAAAACATCACAATGGAGTTACTCTCTCTTACATCAAAAGGGTCAAATTATGAGTAAGATTAAGGTTTGGCGCAATGTTACTTCATGGAACTAATATGTAATTTTCATCTGGTTTCAGAATGTTTGGCGCAATTGGAAACTCTGGATGAGACTGATGCTGATGCTCCAGACCTTCCTAATAATTCTGCTCCAGATCCTCCTAATAAACCTGCCCCAGTAACACCTGCAGTAAAAACCAGAAAATACTGGAGCTCTGCTGTGGATCCGGATATCTACCCAGATGTAACAGATGTTGGAGACTTGTTTCTAGACATATTGGCTAAGCCAGAATTCTTGAATTTACACAATGATACAACAACAAGGAAAGAAACAGTGTGGCGAAAAATCGCAGAGGAATCAGAAAGGTTAGGCTACAAAGCGGATGACAATTTATCTGTGGCCGCACGCATCTGTGAGGTAAAATTCAACAACATGAAGGGTAAATACAAAACTTTTAAAGATAATGGAGGGCCAGGGGGCACTGGAAATGCCGGGAAAAAAGTTCCCTCATACTATGACAAAATAGATGCACTCCTTGGTGGCAATGATGATATAACGCCCCAAAGCGTTATTGATTCATTAGATGATGTTGTCGAATCAACCAGCAGCGAATCTGGAGAAAAGTCAACCGATAATATAATACGGCATGTAAATAAAAGCTGCAAGCCTGGCACACCAAAAAAACAAAAGCTTGACAAAATAATGTTGGAAGAAATGAAATTAACGCGCGAACAAATAGCTCAAAATCATTCAGAGTTCATGGATTACATGAAGACCGACAAGGAGAAGACCAGACAAATACAAGAGAGGAACGCATCAGCATTTGAGTCTTTGGTAGCTCATATCACTGGGAAACCCAGCGCCTCCAACAGTGATAGCAACTGACTTTAGCTAACCTCACTGTAATGTTAATTTAATAATAATTTTTTGTTGTAAAAATAAGTCTAAGAGACTGATTTACCTACTATAGTCTTAAGTGTTATGTTGACGTACGTACTGAATGTGCATTTGCAATTGTAAACATGCAGTTACTCTCTTTATGCCTTAAAATTCTTGCCTTAAAGTGAATTTACGGTGAATCCGGCAAAAGTCTGAAGTATTCAAGTCATTTTCTCTGATTTTCGGGCTTCAGCACTTCTGGCCTTTTTTATCATTTTATGGAGAGATTTTGGTTTCATGGCAGGTAAGCCATGCCACTAGATGTATTCTATCCGTCATCAGCTTCAAAATAGAGTTGAAGGGTAACCTTCAGTGGAATGTATCTGATATTTTGGTGTCTCAAACTCTTGCCATGGAATTCACCATAATATTTTGCAATACTTTAGGTTCTCTATTTTCCAAAAATTAATTTACATTATATTTTCTTCATTACAATTTAAAATGGTTTCTAGTATTTAAAGAATTTCTTCTACATGCTTTGAGCATTTTCCTGTTTCGTTATTACAATTTCAAATTGTTTCTAGTACTTTAAGAATTTCCTCTAGATGCTTTGAGAATTTTTCAGTTTCATTTAGTTTTCCAATGCTTATAACTTTTTAATTTAAATTTCAAATATTCTGTGAACATTGTTCGCAAAATTTTAGTCTTAAAGCTATGTTCCTCCTTATAATTAACTAATGTTTTTGTTCCATTATTTTCATAAAGGCTTCGTTTTTTGGGTGACTTCTCGTCAATATAAGTTTCCTCTTTTTCATTTTGTTATTCTACTTTGATTTTTTTTCTTATTACAATTTTGTTTCAAGTATCTATAGTTGTTGATTTTTTTTTATAATAATATTTTGACCAGTTACCTATGCTGTTCAATTACTGACAAAGGCACAGAAATAAACCTTTTTTTATCCTGTGTGAGGTATAACAAATTGGTAAAGTGAGCTTGCCCCCTTTTCAATTTTTGCTGCGAACCTGAAAACCCTGCTAAAAGTGTTTCATGCATTCCATGATTTAAGCTCCCCATATTTGGTTATCTGTGAAACATTTTTGGCAAAGTAATTAACTTTTATTACTTTACCACTACTTTTATTTTTGGTATTCCGCTCTTTTTAGTGTGGAAAATCATTGTACAGATCATTTAAGTGGGAGTAAAGTAAAGATAATACCTGGGAAGCCTGCAATTTCCTGAAATTCGTTTGATATTGTCTGTGCCTCTGCCTCTGTTGGCCAGCGGATGAAATATTTAGCGGATCGGCAAAGCATTTCAACGATTTCATCTTTTGCCACCATTACTGTTGAATCAGCAATCCCTAAAATATCTCCTATTCTTCGGAGCGTCATTTGCGATGAAAGGTACATCAGAGCTACTTGTAGTTTTTTCTTTGCTGACACAGGCTGCAGGCCTCCAGAGTAAGGCATAGCAATGCTCGGATACTTCATTCTCAAGTATTGTAACAAGACATCGAATGTGTCTGGTTTCATCCTGAATAGTCTTTGGTAATCATCGTCCAAATAATTTTCTGTCATTTCACAATAACCTTGCGGTCGGAAATGCGTTTCTCGCTGGTTGCGGTTTGCCATCAGACCAATGATCGCTGCCGTTCCTGATGCATATGAAGCTCCCATCATCTGCGATGCAATGTTCATAGCATCATCATCTTCCTCAACAAAAAGGATTTCTTTAATTGCCATTAGCACTAATGGATCCATCTCTATTTCCTAAAATGCAGAAGAGAATACAAATAATATTACTCTCACCCAAGTAGCATTTTGCAACGAAAAAATTGCAATTTAAATGCAATAAAATTTCCAGATGATTTCAACTTTCTTGCAAGAAAATTGCAATTATTTTACAACATCTGACCCCCTCATTGTAAAAAAGTTGCAATTTTTTTTTTGCAAAGAAATTTCAATATTGACGACCTTTAAATTTCAACCCCTAAATTTTCCGGGGAAATTATAATAATTCGAACCCATGCTTACCTAATGTCCTACGACGTTTAGCAGCATAAAATACCGGACGCCCTTGAGTGGGCTTGAACCCGACCTGCGAATGTCATAGCGGAGCACTCTTCCACTGAGCTACAGGGAGCTGATGATGAGCAGGGTTGAAATCACGCCTGTTAAGGCTGTTATCGCATGCATTGCGTCAGTGCGTGGCTCAACATTCATCATAGATTTGATTAACGCCGTTTTTCTCAGGCTTCTTTCTTTTGCCTATTATTTATTTTTTTTCGTGTTACTTATTTTTTTCATATTTTTTTTGTCTGATTTTTTTTTCGATATCACGTAATAGGTACTCACACTAAATTTACACCGGTGTAAATTACACCACATACTAACTTGAGAACTTAAAAATATTTTCAAAAAATATTTTTAAAATATTTTCAAAACTTTCATAAGGAATATTTTTAATATGCATGTTTACAGGCAATATTTTTGAATTATTTTAAAAATATTTTTTGTAAACATTTTCAAAATATTCCTTTAAAATGTTTTAAAAACATTTTGAAAATATCTTAATTACAATATTGCCATGAAAATATTTTGATAAAGGTGACAATATTTTCAAAATATGTTGGGCTATATGGGTTAGGTGAGACATTTAAGTCGAAAAAACTTTAAAACAACTAGAGAATTGGATGCCAGGCACATGGCGTGAATTTGTTACAACATGATTGCACCGAAATTGCAGTCTTTATAGTGCCTTGAAAAAGAAGGTTAGGCAACAAGCATAATCTACATTTCTTGCAAACTTATTGCAATAAAATTGCAACTTTTTAAGCGCCTTCAAATGAACGTATAGGCAACAAGCAAAAATTGCAATCAACTCACAATCCATTGCAATGAAATTGCAATCCATGCTACTTGGGCACTGTTCTTTGGGAAAATCTGCCAACATATGCGAAATGTTTTGGGGTAAATTAGTAGTCAGTTTTGATGAAGTCAGGTCACTGCCTCTATTTTTTTTGACTGTGAGTAATCAAAAAAATAAAATTAATTGTAATAAGGTACGATGACTTGATGTTCCTTGAGGGGAAGTGACCAACGCCTACATTTTTTATTGATCGGGCTAAAAAAGAAATGTAAGTACTATGATACAACCCGTTAAAGAAAGAAGAAACATAAAATTTTTTACTAATAACATTTGACCCATGAAAAGTAGGTGCATTACAAATAATTTTACGTTTCTTCATAATATTGACAGTCAACCTAAAAGGCACTGTCTCATGTTTTTCACCATTTTTGCTTTCTCGTGCCCTTTAGGAAGAGAATATGTATTTTTTAAAGTCTCAAGAACGTGTTATGATGATATTAAAACAAACTGCACTTACCGAAAGTCAGAAAACCTGAAAAAACACAGAAAATCTCATTAAATCCAAATAACACTTCACAAAACACTTCTTTCCCGCCGTTTTTTGAATTATATTCGATATTTTTTAATTTTCGTGTCAATTTCATAGAAAAAAAAAATCTGAACTCTGATTGGCTCCCGCTTTCACCGCTCATCGGCATCACTCACCACTCATCTATTCGTTGAATAAATGATATTCGATCGCGAAAATTCGCTTATTGGCATCGCCTCTCTGAGGGCAATCGAATTAGACGGCTAATCGATCGCGTTCTGGGATGGGTATCGCTTTCGCCGCGATATGCCTCAGGTATCGAGAACCAAGAGCGGGCGCCGGTCAAAAAGGTTTGGGTTTGCGAACGGAGAGGGCATTCGAAACAAAAGGCCTCTCAACTCGCGAGCGAGGAGGCGATGCATATGAAATCCTGGAAATCGGCGTTCGCTCTTGAGAACCCTCTCGACCCCTGATGCGCAGAGACTCGCGCTCAGCGCTCCCTACTCCCGACTCGGCTCCGCTACAGAAACACGTCACGTCGTGTGCTAGGTCCACACACATTGAACCAGCTAAGTAGGCCGGTAATAAGCCCCAAATTGAGTCCATACATGAATATTTTCCAGGAGTAACATACATTAATGGATTCATTATGGCTTTGAATAACTATTTTAAGGAAAATTTGCACAAATTAATATCGATGGAATTAAAAAAAGTCGAAAAAACACAAGCAGTCGTCGATTTCTCCATAACCACCGTGTTAAAAGAAGCCGGTTGGTTCACACTTGGTATAAGTCAGAAATTGAATTCCTATATGAATATTATCCACGAGTAACATACATCAATGCATTCATTATGGCTTTGACTATCTAATTATGGCAAAATTTCAACAAATTAATATAGATTGAATTAAAAAATATCGAAAAAACACAAGCAGTCGTTGCTTAGTCGTTGCCGCCGTGATAAGAAATGCCAGTCGGTTCACACTTGGTTTTAGTCTTAATTTACGTTCCTTTTTTAATATTATTCAGGAGTATGATACATTAATGGATTCACTATGGCTTTGACTACCTGTTAAAAGCAAAATTTGCAAAAATTAACGCTGATTGAATTAAAAAATGTCGAAAAAACACAAGCAGTTCTTGATTTCTCCATGAGCCACCGTGATAATAAGTGCCGTTGGGTTCACACTTGGTTCACACTTTTCGGAGCACAAGCGGCTCAGGAAGGCCCGTTCATGGATTGACTTCATCGGCGCTCCAGTACATTGCGACTCTATTGTACTCTATGAATCGTGAATTACATTAGGTAAATTTGGTGCCTCCGTTTTTTTTAAATATTAAGTAATAAAGAGAGGGGATTTAGACAGTAGTGATACCGAAAAGGTACCTCGTAAAGCCGGAAGTGCTAAAAAAACCGGTGGTGCATATGATTCAAAATTAGGAGCATACAGGGTGATCTCGAAAACGGCGGAGAATTAAGCTTCGGGACAAAAACTTTCGTAGGGTAAATCGACCTCAAAGAATCGAATGAAAATATTTTCAGCCCCCCAAAATGGTTCCTTGAGGGGGTTTTGCGGGGAGCTCCCCCCGTTACTCACGATCTTCAAGTAGGGTATGTTTTGACGTTTGCGGTTTGATTCCCATGCTGCCATTTTGAAAGTATTTGGCATTTCAGAAATGCATTGCGGAGGAGGCATGTTTTGTCGAACCAAAAACCAACAGGACCCAGAGTTTCATTCCCATCCAACCGTAAACGTCCGTAATACCAAAATTCTGCATTTTCCAGATGCAAAAGGATTGATAAGCATAAAACTGCATTTATCCCGTTTAATCTAAGTTCATCCTAATTCAGTAACATTCATCCTTGCCGGACAAAGAATTTGATTTTAAATTAATTGAATTTTAAATAAATTAAATGTGTCGAGTTTTATAAATTGAGATTATGATAAAAAAAAATCTAATCACACATTGGCAGGTTATAGGTTATGATTCATTTTTTTTGTCTACCAGATCAAGACCCCCTTCACGCTCTTGACCTCTCACCATAAATTGTGCTGAACACTTATCAAGTGGATTGCCGATCTCTCCAATTAAAAAAAAATAAAAAATAAAAATTTTTAATGAACAGGAAAAGATTACAGTAACGCCATTTCAGTTCACCTTAAATTTCAAGGTAGGCAACACGAGTTTCAACGTGGTTGGATGGCGGTATTGTCGTCGTGAAATGACAGTTTGCCTTCGATGATTAGTATAGGCAACACAAGCTCTCACGTGGTCGAAGAGTGGTATCATCGTCCGTGCAATAGACGTTCTCTGTCTGCTAATTTGTTTTTATGTCATGTCGGGACCGCGTTTGTCAGTAAAGTAGTTGCTCCTCCTGACTGTTATTCATTAAACTGTTTTTATTTTTTTTTTACTTCCCGTCCGAGCACATGAGCACTAAAAAAGAGAGATGAGGATGATGATTATGATGCTGATGATGACCATGAAGAAAAAGAAGAACAACGAATGGTGCAGAACAAGAAGAGTGAAAGAAAATAAGCTAGAATAAATTTGGAGAGAAGAAGAAGATAATGAAAGTGAGAGAAGCAAACAGAGAGAAGAAATGAAAAGTAAAAAGAAGAAAGCAGTGAGAGGGAGATTGGATTGAAAAAAAGAAGAACGTGGAAATAGTGGAATAGCTGTTTCATCGTGAAATTGCACGATTACTTGGAACGTTTTTAAAAAATAGCATTTCACCAAACTGGAGAAGATAAATTAACGTCATTTCATTTCGCCCTCAATTTCAGTGTAGGCAACAGGAGCTTCCGCGTGGTCGAATAGCGGTATCGTCGTGAAATGGCACGCTCACTCAGGCAAAATAAGCTCCCATGTGGTCGAATAGTGGCATCATCCCCGAAACAATATCGGCCTAATGCTCCCCGTAACTAAATTTTTGGTGAAGCATCTAGACCCGTGACTTCAGTCACGGGCTTTCCGCTAGTTGCAAAATAACGTTTTTCGAGATAAAATGCAGTCAAAATGGTTTCGCGACGTTATCTGATTGGGGAGGGGGAGGAATGGGGGTTGGGGGAAGGGATGCCAAAAGGGGTGAAATCTCTAATTTTATTAATTGCTAGCCGTTCTGGACGCGCTTCGCGCGTCCGTCACGGCCAGCCAAGGGGCTGATCCCCCTGGGCCCCCGATCACTCGCTACGCGAATGACATTCGGCTCGCTCCGCGATCCATTTTTCTCAGTGATTGGACATTTGATCACTAAGATTTATACATTTTGGAGACTCTGGAGGCAATAATGATTTCGTCACAGAACCTTATTGCCTGAGCATGCCATCATTTGCACATGAATAGATGTGTGGAGATGAAGCAATGATGGGGATCGATCATTTCTTCAAAAAAGCATTTGACTGGGACGTCATCCCATCAGGTGGACAGTCCATGGATCTCCTTCCGCGATTTGACTTGCTGAAGTAGCAAAAGTTCATCTTTACCTCTTAAGAAGATTATCGGTGGCGTAGGGGTCTATAAACTGCTCAACGATAGTACAGTTCGAGTTCCGAATTGCAATGAGCCACTCGTGTTTTTCCCTAATACTTTCATCGCATATAAATTTCTCTAATGTTTTTGTTTTATTCTCTCTGATTGCATATTAGTAATCATATCCTAATTTCATTTCATTTCCTTTCCCTTTCCTTTCTCCCTTTCTATAGCATCTGTGTCCAATTACAATTAATATTTTAAAATAGCTTTCCCTTAGTGTACAATTGATGCTTGAAACGGAATCAATTGTTTTAATGAAATTTCTGGCTAAATCATGGGTTTTCCCAGGAAGGCAGCCTCTCGTTCCTCCCGGACTCCATTGTTGCCAGATAAGTTGCTTTTTTAGCACTTTTCCAATTCAAATCCGTGTAAAATATTCACATTTGTCGCACAATCTGGCAACCTCTCAAGTGAAATAGAAAAAGGTGGACTCGCTGAAAGTCTGAATCCTTCGAAGTTCATATTAATGATGATAGCTTTCCCCTAGTGTACAATTGATGCTTCAAACGGAATCAATTTCGCACCGCACCGCCGCGGAAAATGCCCTTGGAGACCGTAGCTTTGGCAACGCCGCGAAGCCGTCTTCTTACGCCCTAGGGCAAAGTCTGATACACGAAATTGTAGCATTTTGAATCTACTTTCATTTCGGCTGATACACTTACCTTCTAAAATTGATGGAAAAAGAGTTACAAGCAAAAAAACCTTAAAAAATTGAAATTTTGAACATTTTGGGATTTTTTTTGGCAACCTTGTAGTGGGCATATTATCAGAAAAATTTCGGACCGGGTGGAAAATGTCCGTAATTTTATCTACTTTAAGGCAAGTTCTTGCACAGTTACTCGAAAAATGAGCGTTTCCGCGATATTAGCCGAAAAACGAGAGATTTTTGGCCGTTTTTTTCGATTTTGGGGGGGTTCCCATAAAGTGCCGATGTCGCAAATTTTCTTTCTCGTTAAGGACCCTCTATGGATGGGAAATCAGGCGAGAAAAAACGTTCCGCTCTTAAAATCGCATAGCGGCCATTATTATCCTCAAATGACTGATCGCAATTCTTCGATTTTGGCACTGCCGCGCGCTTCACTTCGGCTATTCCCGTGGCCTTTTCGGCTGTTTCCGTCAAGTCGAGGGAAGTGCCTTGTTCCGCTCCTTTACAACAACCGCGCTCTTACGGGCTGACATTGTAATAATATGCCTGACGGTCAACGCACAGATGGTTGCATAACTATCAGGCGATCGAACTGAACGCGCAGCGCAAAATGCGAGAAATTACGGACCTTCCGCGAGATTTACGTACGTTTTAGGTGCTTACGGACCGACCTTAAAAAATGCGTACTTTTTCCGGACTTTACGGACTGGTAGACACCCTGACTTTTATTCTTTCAGTTTTTTCTGATGAACTCCAGCTGAACGTTTTCTAACCCAAAATCTGTTGTAGATTTCAGTTTTGTTGATTGCAATGCACTTTTTTAGTTTGCATCAGTGCCAGATAGCTTTTGGTATAAAAATGTAAGAATGGTATAAAATCCTGGATGGATTTAATCTGTCTGCATTCATATGTTTGGCTTGCATTTGTGCAGTTAAATCAATCTATTCTAAAAGACTTAGCTTCATTTTAATTTTAAATCCCTATCTGGGTGTATTGTTGGGAGATGGGAACGAAATCAGCCCATAGAATCAAAAAACTTGGCAGTTGCCCCTGTTTGCGGCATGATCCATGCACTCTTATTTTGGTTGTACAAAAACTTCATTTAATCATAGCGCAAGTCAAATATTTAGGAGTAATATATGCAGTTACAAGTTTGAAGCGATTGATTACTTTTATAAACAAAAACTTCAAAGTCTGAAGTATTATTGTCTTAAAAGATCAAAGAATGGACAGTGTCATCGTAATGACACACTGTCACAGTATTTACACAAGTAACGTCAAAGATGATTTTCTTGCCGCACAGTATACATTTCTGCTATAGTAGAAGCACCAGAATAAAGAGAAAACAAGGAATTTTCTCAAAAAATCGAAAATTGAGTTATTAACAGTTTGGCATGGATGCATTTCGAAGCAAAGTGATTAAAAA